AGAGGTAATGTGAACGTCCACATGTTGTGAACAGAGCACCTGAGTATACAGTAGATAATGGAATTAAATAAAACACAATTGTAAAGAAGGAGCAGTTTCTTTTTCTCCCAATTCAGTCTTCTGCACCCGTCCATCACGCAGAACCACTGGGTTTCATGTTCACTTCACCAGAGGAGCAGTTCTTGGTGCTCACTCAACCCGACAAATCCTTGTCAGGGCTGGGATTTGAGCTAGCAATCCCTCCATCTCAAACCCAATCCTGTGCTGCACCACAACACAAATTAGATTACAGTTTCCTCGGTTAGATTATAAAGGCGAAAATCTGAAAGTTCAATTAGCAACTTGAAATACAACAACTGATAGTTTTCTGTACTGTATTATGGCGTGATTACATGTTTCATTCTTGTTTCCTTATGAGCTAGTTTGAGATTTTAGTACTGTATTGTATGGTGGATTTTTTTTTTTTTACATTTACTTCAATTTCTAAATGATCCAAACATATGACTGAAATCTCCAAATTTACAAACAGCAAATATATGAAAATAATATATAATTTAGCTCTGTTGAAGTCTTTAACAGTTGACCCTCTAAACACAATAAATGACTGTGAAGGAAAAACACACAGATGGCCCGAAGATTCCCATGTGGGACTGTGTAACATAATACTTCTGCTCAGTCAAAATCACAAGGGGTTACTTGACACTTGCAGGAATACTTTAATTAAGACCCATTAAAAATATGTTTAGAATCTACTTCATTATGGATTCTTTTTAACTTGATGACCTGGCATTAATTGTTACCTTACTTTGTTTCAAGGCAAACATTTTCTAGCCAACCATAACGTGATTCTGTGATGTACTGACTAAATTAATCTTCATTACACCGGTGTCTAAGTGCATTGCTTCGAAGCCAACTGCCAATAATCCAGCAATTTGTCTGCACTACTACTGTAATCCTGAAAGGAAATCAAATTATATGAAACAGTGAAAAGGCTGATTGTGTTCTGGAAAGAAATTCGCTAAAATGGGCACACGTTTGTAATCTGCTTTCAATTTACACCCTAAATCCCAGAAGATTTTCTTTGATAGTAAAATCTAAAAATACCTACGGAAGAAAAAAAAAAGAGCGACCAATCAGAGACCAGACATGATGGTCTGAGGTAACCTAGATAGAGAATCTGTTTCTTAGTTTAGCAAACTTCATCTCAATGATTTTGAATCTGACATCAACCACCAAACCTCAGACTCTGGAGGGTCAATGTAAAAGTTTTATAGATCTGTGAAAAGATTTGTTGACGCACTGATCAATGTCAGGATTTCCTCCGTGAACGACAGAGAGAGATAGCAGACAATTTCCGAACGCTACAGGCTCGTCTAGTCTACATTATCTTAATGGAAACGGTGTAATCACATTTTGAATGAGACATCACTTTGGCAGGGACGATGGTCAATCGTGTAAGTGACTGGAGTGCTTATAAACAAACAACATCACACTCAGAAAAAGTGTCGAACAGAAGAGATGACAAATTATTTAACTGTGGAATGACTTAATGCTTTATGAATCAACCCGTTCGATTCAAGTTTCAGTACGTACATCAGTACTTAAAGGATATTACCAGGATCATTTCCACAGACAAATAGGGAGGTACACATAATGGACTGTGGAAGAGCTAAATGTGTCAAGATCTCTCATCTGAAGTACATTTGTAAGAAAAACCACTGAAGCTGAAGTGATTCGTGAGGGAAGTTAAAAACAGGAGGCATCAACTAGAGATTTGGCTCTACAGACGTTAGTTAATACAGAAGTTCCCAAGTATGGGATCAATAAAGTTCAAATTATTATTATTATTAATGGTTCAGAGTCAACGGTGGGCTGTAAAAATGTTAAATGTTTAGAGGAAAAGAATGATGCAGTTGGATCTGGGCTGAGAAGAATGCACATTTCCTCGGGTTGACCTGAATACTTTTAATAAAACTGCAGTGCTTGGACAAATCAGAATTCACGTGGACTGGTTAAGGTTGCGTAAACTGCTGCAGCTACAACAAAGCACTATCCTGGAAGGACTGTGAATGCAGCAAAATTTAAATGCATGATCACGGGGTGGGATACCAATGTGTACCCGTGCCTCAGAATTCACCCCGCTTAGCGCCGACTCTACAGAGTAAGATCTACATTTCACCCTCAGCTGAAGCTGTCGACCGAGGGAGAATTAACTGCAGGAGCTTTATTCAAAGAGTCGGGTAGGCAGATGGGGACTGAGGCCTTTTCTTTCCGCTCAGGCGTTAACAGAGGAGAGGTCTGTCTCATAGAAACAGAAGACGTCATGTCTGTGCCTTACTATCGTACCATTAGTGGATCTCCCTATTCACCCGTCTGTAAATTGCTGAGCCATTCATAAAGGAAGCATCCAGACAAGAGTATCACGCGTTTGTCAACAGTGATACGCTTGTACACACTGTTAGGGCAACCGCAGCAATAAAGGGTTGTGTCTGTGGGAATGCTCCCTACCATTTTCCTGTATATAGCAGGCTTTGCTGTGACATCTTCACAGTTTCCTAGCAATTAAGAACGTTTCTTCAGCCTGGATGACATTGCATTCAGCGTGACAGCACCAACCATACAAGCTGATGTCAAAGACCAGTGCTGCCAATCAGTTTAGACTCCTTCCAAATCTCTCTTTCTCCATTTAGTTACCACTTAGAGTCCAAGCCCAAAGATTTGAAAGCAAGGGCTGAGAAGGACATCTGAGAACTAATCTCCGAAAACCACTCCAAAAATTACTTTAATCTCCAATGGCAAACACCCACAATTCTGAACAAATCAAAAAATCAAACTGGTCGAGTTAGGTTGAGGGTATTTAAGTAGACCAGGGAAACAGAACACTTCTGCATATGCAGTATGATGCATGGCTGACACTTGAAATGCATGACAGAGCAGCTTCATCTCACCAGTCTGCCCTATAATGTACATATTTCATGAGATATGCTGTCACGGTAGCTTCTTATTGCACATTTTTAAGACTCTATATCCAGACATTTTGTCATAACGCCAGGTAATGAAATGTTAAGATGCTGCTCTGCTCACAGGTTGGTCCATTTTTCAGCAGAGTGAATTCAGTCACGAAGCATAAAGAAGAAGGTCCGGCCATAGGCTGAACACTGTGCTGCACTAACAGCAGTCAGGCTTACAAGATTCATACAGTGGTATCTCTGACAGTCAGCCGTGGAATCACACCCACAGTCTGTGCCACCTCAGTGGCTCTGATGCCGACAGGACCTACACCATCAATATTCTCATATGATCGCCTCTGGAAGAAACATGTTTTATAAGACCTGGTATTTAAGAGCAAACATGCGGTACACTTAAAAAATTCACTACAAAAATGATTCAATTTATCAATGGAAAATAACAGTCATCCAGGTGAGAAGCCATTTATAGGTATCGTAAAAGTAAGATGTCTATTTTTTTAAAAAATCTGTTCATTTCAATGTTTTCTGATTTGTAATTTTATTTCTCTTGGTGCCAAGCAACAGGAGAATTTAGTGGAGGTTTGTTGGTGAAGCTGTGGACGTGGGGGGCTTGACATTAGTGCCATGTACAAACGTGGGGTGCTGCAGCAAAAGTTTGGGAGCCACTCAATCTCTCTTCTGCTGCACCACTTTGGGCTCAACACAAAAACAACATCTCTGCTCATCTCTCCTCTTAAAATAGGTCAAGACAATGTATTTGCAAACCTTCATTCACGGCAGAGTAAGAGCGTGCTTCAAATACAGAACAGAGGCTTGGCTGTTGGTCAGACCTGACGGCTAGTACTCTCTGTAATGTATTGTCCTTATCCTTAGACCAATGAGAGGGCGGTTCCACTGCGATGAGAACTCCATATCAGTCATCTTCGGACAAATATCACTGCAAACCTTATTGACCAAATAGCAACCAGACCATGACACGTTGAAAAGTTGAAGAACATTTTTAAGTTTTGATTAAGAATACAAAATAAGAAAAAAAACTAAAGAAGAAAAAGATGTTAGAAGACGCAGCTGCAAAATTCATGTGACTGTAAAAATAAAAAAATAAAAGTGTATAAAGACGCTGCTGTTTTTGAACAGACGACCAAACAAGTGGAGTACTGTTACTTCAAGAACTGTGCTGACAGCATTTATACGGAAAGTCCCTAAATTATTTTTCCATTGTTTTTCATCTTTCCCTTGATTTCTTTGCTCTGGTGAAAATGAGTAATGAGAAAGTTTTTGAGACAAATAGACCAGTGATATATGATTTCAAATCTAACCCAAAATTAATCAAATTCTTCGATTTGGATAGCTGGGTTTCACCCACATGTTTTCCAATACCTATCCAGATCCCAATGACACTATTTATTAACCTCCATGATTGGAAGTAAAACAAAATCATTTCCTCTCAGGTGGCTGTCGGTCAGTGGGTACTGATTTTGTCCAAACCTTAGAGATATATTTGTGGGTTTTAAATGGAGCTGGCTGTCTAGCTCCTGCTGCAACCAAGTCACATGGGGTTGTGTCAGGGAAGGCATCCAGGGTAAAAAACTATCAATATCACTGTAAGGATTGTAAGGATTGACGGCTGCAGCACAAAGACTGAAAATAAAACCTGACAGCGCCATGAGCAAAACCTCAGTGGGTCACTGGACACAAAGACCACGAGTCTAAAGTCACACTACTACTAACATTGTTATGATGATGCCCTCTTTTCTAAGAGCAGAGATTTGTTTTGTAGCAAATATTATCAAAACATGCAGGGATTGAAACCAAAAATGTATACAGTGAAAAAAAGTGTATGCTGTTGGAGACTGACAAGTGGATTGAATAACTCAGCCAGGGTCAAAATAACAAGGTACGTTTAGACATGACCCTAGTCTCAGTTTATTACAGAACTACTGTACATCTGATATATTTATGTATTTATCAGTTTGGGTCAGTCAGTCACACATGGAGTTCACTCATATTCACTTTTCCACTTAATTGTCCATTTATCCTGTATTTCTGTACAGGGTAAATAAACCAACAAAATAACACGTGGGTCTCTGTTGTTATCCCTCAACTGTGATCTGAAACAACTCAGTCCACATGGTCCAAAGAAAGTGATTGATCATGATGATGTACTTCCTGTAAATATTTCATCAGCCAAGCAAACCCTATCCATTACAAACCATGTCATCAGTGTCCAAATAATTAAAGGTAACTGCAAAACATTGATCATTTGTAATGATTTTTTAAAAAAACATCTAAAAATAAACACAGAAACTCAGCTTGGACCAAACCCTCCTGGTGTGGGTGACTCTGGATTACTGAGGATAATGACAGAAAAGTCTTGAAAGGTTTATTAATAGGTTTATTACCCCCAGGGGTGACTACGAGTACTCCCAGGGTGCATGTACCCCCAATTTGAGAACCAACAGACTGAATCTAATGTATGCTGTAAATGAAAACCACCCATCGTTTGGACTCTCAGCACCAATCCTAACACCTAGCCTGCACACAGACCTGGACAGACCTGGACAGAGCTGGACAGAGCTGGCTTTGACAGCAGGAGCAGCAGGAACTCTTCCATCTCTCTGCACCGACGCCTACAGTCTGGAGAGTGCGGACGCGCCCATGTCACCTTCCCCAGCATCACCTGACATCCTGACAGAATAACCCAGCCATGAAGGGCCATTACTGAAACCCCCCACGGCTGAAACTGCCAATGAAAATGACAGATGTCACAATGAATCTGGTCCCTAACATCGGGACGCGCGTTTTAGTCCCAGCCTGGACGGACGTGAGTGAAGACTCCAAGCCCGGTCTGTGGCTTTAAGGCACGCCACAGTTTGAATGGTCGCGGTCGGGCTTTGGCCTCTGGTTCAGAATTTAACACAAATTCACTGTTGAACACACCGGAGCAGCGGTTCACCGTGGACACACTGCATGTGTGTGCGTGCGCCTGCGTGCGTGTTCGACAGTATTTGAAGGAACTATCAGACTGGGTGATGCTGCGGTGCCGCTGCAGATCGTGTAACACGTAACATCATCCGGACCACGACAAAATCATGCATTTGCATACACACGCACGCGCACACACACACAGCATCTCCATGAATGTGTTCGCGACGCTGCGTTTGAACGCACAGAAACTGCACTTCCACTGTCAACACACGGAGCCCGTTCTGCAATGCAGCGACTACAGCTTGACTCCATCCTCACACTCCGCCTGTTGTAAACAACACTCAGTCTCCAGCTGTCAAAATGCAGCCGCCGGCTTCTCTCCGTGAAACCAGCCCAACTAAAAGCAGTTTCCCGTGTGTCTGTGTGTGTGCTCCGTGTTGTCCGTGCTCTTTACCTTTCGCAGCAGCGTCCGTTCGTCCTTCACACACCTGCTCAGAACCGCATCGTCCTGCGCTCAGCAGCGGCCAGAGGAACTGACAGAGCCGCGCTCCTGTCCCCCCTGTGCGTGGAATGGATGGAGCGAGTGTTACTACGTCTGAGACCTAAGGGGGCGCTAGACCTGCCTGTTCCACTGGTCTACATATCTGAATGGTGTCCAACTCCTCCTGCTAAAAAAGAAAGATACACGTCTGAGAATAAAACGACTCACATACTTCTGTTCTTTAAAAAATCATATTTAATGCCATTTAAGACGAGAAAAGAGTGAGCTGAAGACAGAAAGTTATAAGACAAATTGTAAAAAAAAATCTTAATAAAAATAAAAGCTACTTATTTATGTATCTTTCAGTTAAGACTTGTTTATTTGCACTAAGAGCTGGAAATTTAATAAACAAAATTACTTGACAACTTACATACTTTTAAAATTATTTTAACTGTCTTTATTTTTCACTCTCCCTTTTATGGACCCTCCAACAACAGACGTGGGCTTCTATTTTCATCTTTTTCTTTTCTTTTCTTTTTCTTTTTTTTTTTTTTTTTTTTTTTGTGGCAGAAATACTAAAGAAACTTGTAAATGAAGAGCTGGCTGAAGCAAATCAAAGAAAACTGCTGCAAAGGAGAGACTGTGTGTCAGCAGGCTGAAGTAGAGCCGCCACACTGGGCCACACCGGGTGTTTGGAGTTACTGCAATCAGTGACTGCTGCAAGAAACACAGGCTAAACAGCAGCGTCACATCAAGACAAGAAACAGCCAAACATGAGGACAATAAACAGGTCTCTCATGTCATACTGAAAAAAATACAACGCAATCCATGTTAATATCAATTTTAATTTTTTTAAGAGTATTTAAACTCTATGAAAGCTAGCCGTTAGCAGACAGAAAGAATAAAAGAAAGAAATGAAGGAAGAAAGGAACAATACAAAAAAAGAAAAGAATACAGAAATGAACAAATAAACATTAGAAATAACTCAAAAGCTTAATATAAGAACTAAAGTAGCTATAATTTAACCAAGTGTGAGCAGAAAAGGGTTGAAACTTACCAGAAACAGTTGAGTAATTTTAACACGTAGCTAACCAGAGATCAAAAAGATAGAAATGATATTCAATAAAATTGTGTCAAAACAATTTCATGTTAATGATATTTTAATGCTACGTAAAATATTTGATGAAACGTCTCGTGGGTTTTTATAACGGTGCTCCTCTGAAGAGGAGTCTCGTCAACCTGCTCTGTACATGACAGAGACAAAACTTTGTTTTAAAGGAAGTAAATCTTAAAGCTGGAGGAGATAAAGTGATCTGCTTGACTAGACAGTAGACTCTGCCTCCTTGTTAACTTCAGGCCTGGTTTTTATCCGGCAGATATCAAAAGGCCACCATTACTAATTACAGCACTTGGCCAGTGTGTCAGTCCAAACACCAGGCCGTCTCAATCCCCCGGGATTAAATCTTGGATGTAAACACCACAAAGCAAATAATAATCTGCGGCGGCCCATAAATAATGCAGGAACCTTTGAGAAAGAGTGGAGTAGAATTAATTCAAGGACTTAGTCCCCTCGGATGCATTTAAGGGAATATATCAAAGAAGTTCTTTTTAGTGTGGGCGGAGAGTGAAATATGCCATTGGAGGCGGTGTCAAAGTCATGTTAATTTAAGGGCGAGACATGTTTATAGAAGACATCATGGAGCTCAGCTATTCTTTTTACCTCAATCACAGCATACTAATGATTTATAATTAAAAATACTTTAAATGAGCCAATTATGAAGGAAGAATGAAAATTGGTTATTGACAACAATATATAATTTGTTAAACATATAAGTGTGAGTTTAAAAAGAAAAAACAGCAGAATTTGTATTTTACTTTTCTCCAGATATGTTTTCATTTCTTTTTCTTCTTTATCTTTATGTAAAAAGCTTCAGAATTGGCTTTAACATGTACCGTTACTGGTCAAATGACATCCACTGAAGAAAAAGACCACATAAATGTATCACCTTTATGACATGTTTAAAAGAAGCACAGAGCAGATTTCAGTGTATTTAACCACGTATAACGCGGCAATGCAAATAGAGATGGATCCTGCTGCTGAATAACATTGTTACAAGGACAGTCTCTGGGGTGGATAAGAGGAAGAGCAAACACCCTGCCGTCTGGAGAAAAGAATAGGTGTCTGTCATCTATCTACCAAGCAGAGGAGGAGGAGGAGGAGGAGGAGGGGGGTGAAGGCGCAGGGAGGATGGGAGGGTAAATGGGATTTAGCCCCAGTCATCTCCATGGAGGCTCATACAACCAGACCTGTTCAAACACACGGCGGAGACGATGAAGGCTTTACATTGAATAAACATTTCAGCACACATATGTTTGCTGTCAGCGAACCAAACCCTGCACTTTGGAGGATGGTCCTGAATCTGGCCACAGTGTGTGTGTGAATTTGTGTGTTGTTGAAATGTTTATTCATCAGTCATAGGGAAATGTCACAGAGTAATTGTGCACAATTATCCTCACCAGCTCAGAGAGCAGCAGAAAAGGCCATATTTACATAAAGGCACAAAGGCTCTGCCACTTACATGTAAGAAAGTGGCAGCAGAAATCTGTGCACACACTTAAATACAGCAGAAACAAACAGAACATGTTTTGATAAGAGCTGCCTCTGATACGCTGCTCCCTGGGTTGTGTCTAATTAATAATTTGGACTAATAAGTGGTACACTTCAAAGGCTGTCTGGAAACGGGAAATGACATTTGGACCATGTAAAACCAGACTGGAGGTAGGAACCAAACCAGCTGCAGATCAATTTAAGCAAGGCTTTCCGCCCAGTAATAAATCAAGGATCTGGACACAAGAAAAACAGGGAGAGGATAATGGATGCTGAGGCAGACGCACGACTGACACGGAATGAATGCATCCAGGAACGGATAAGGATTGAGAGGAAGGATGGATGGGTGCGTGGGGGTCAGCAGGGTAATGGGGCAGCTGCTTGTTTGGTAGCACTGATCACCAATCGACAGAGAAATAATGTGATTCTGTTGCCCAGAAAACAAATCACTATAAGCCTCTTAGAGGAGGCTTTTGTACGGAGGTCAGGAGACGTCCAGAGAAAAACAAAGAAATTGTCAAATACTTGGGAATCCAAAAAAATTATTTTCTGAAATCCCTTTAATAGAAGGATAAATGGAAAGACAGATTATTACATACAACTTTTTTTTTAAGTAAATGTAAATGTAAATGTCTTAAAGCATGTTGCATTTCAGAGTGATTAGTGTAATCATCTCTGAATCGCTAGGTGGCAGTAAAGTCAAGAGGAAACATCATCAACAGCTGTTGATCAAATGATGACTTTTAATCCAGCAGCTGAAGGTCATCAGGTCTTTAAGACACTGGTTTACAATCTTCTGTGTTGTGTCGACTCATCTTAGCTGTGTCGACAGTTCTTATAATTCACACCCAACTGATTATTATTATTGTTATTATTATTGTTATTATTGTAAATTAAAGGATATGCAATGGATTTCACTTGTTCTGAAATAAAGGATACTATTTGGACTTGGAGGAACCACAACTTGATTCTTAAAAAGCCAAGACTTGTAACTTTAGATTTATTTATTTATTTATTTTTACAATATGACCTTTAAACATTAAAAAATAAAATATGTGAAATTATTACATACCCATTGAAATGCCATCATCTACCACTAGGGGTACAAAATGGAAAGGCTATGCCCCTAGTTGGGAAGGCCTAATCACTGCTATTGATACAGAATAAACGTCTTATGGTTTTTTTGTTGTTTTTTTTGTTGTTTTTTTTGTTTTTTTGTTTTGCTGGCCTTCACACTAATGATGAGTATCAATGAGTCCACCTTAAATCACACTAACATTTTCAGTCTGTAAAATTAATAACTAACAGGAAGCACTGGTCTTAACAGAGTAGCAGAGGCTAGAGTCACTGGCAGAGGGAGAGCGAGTATTTCCAACATTTACCAGATTTTATCACTAACCAACAGCAATGCCGTGTGATAATTCAACAGATGGCGAGCTGCTCCCTCAACATTACTCTGACAATATGACGGCGATGAAAGAAGAAGAAGAGCAATGGCCAAAAAGATGGAGACCAACTGTTGTGTTTCCCCAGGCCTTCTATCAGCAGCTACTTCACAGTGTTAGGAGGCCGAGGCGTCAGAGTTTAGACGTTCCACCAGAGGGTGTTAACAGTACAGTGAGATGTGACTGTAAGGTGTTCAGGCTGTAGTTGAACATGAGTCATATCCATTAATGTTTTTTTTACCTCACACTGAAAATGTGATGCTAACACAGAACCAACTGTCACATTTTTGTTGTATTTAAATCGGTCATTTATAAATTGGAGAAAACATTGAAAAAATTAAATTATGTTACATTGCATTATTGTTGTTAAATGTGTGTAATTTTAATGTTTAAATCAAATGCTTAAGTTAGCTTTTTCTAATGCTAGTAGCTATGGCCATTTAGCAAAATAGCTCTTAAACCGTTTAAATATTTCTATTTATATCTTTTAACAAAAAACTAAAAAGGTAGCATTTTTATTTCTTTTGGGATAAACAGTAAGCGATTTGATGAAATGGGAACTTACAAATGCAGCACTTTGTAGCACCAAAAATGTCTTCATCTTATTTATCTATTGGTCACATTCTTTCGTCTAAGTCTTGGCTTGATTTTAAAGACAGCTCAGGCTCATTAAGAACAATCTTTGAATTCTGAGAATGACAGAAGAGACAAGAAAAACATTGAAGCAGGTAATTATTTATTCATTCCTTGAATTTCCAATAACTTGAACTTCATACTTGCACTAAAAGGATGAACTTAAATAGAGACTCAAAAAGCATCTGTTAGTAAAAAAAAAAAAGGTTCTTAAATATAAAAACACCATCATAAAAGAGCAACTTACTTGCAGTGTGTAACTGTGTAGAACCAACACAAATCAGTAATTCATTCAAAAACTAAAAAAGGCAGTCTGAAAAAAAACAAAAACCCGGAGTTTAAAAGGTACGTTTGTCGAGTTTGTCAAGTTGGATACAAGAGAGTTTACACTGTGCACAAAGCAAAAACAAATACAGATTTCCCCTAAAAGTACACGTCTACATTAAATGCAGTTCTATTAACAGGTTAAACCATGCACAATATTGTGTCTGCAGGCTTTCTCACACGCTGCTTGTGGCTGTACAATCTGTTAAGGTATTTACAAATACAACAAATATGCTACAGTTATAGAAAAAAAATAAAACTTGATGCAAGTTAAAAAAATAAATGCCGATCCCACACGAACGCCTGCAACTGTTAGTACGAGTAAAGTTTGTTTTCTTTCACTAAATGGAATTTGAGCATACGCGACTGTTCACATACACTCAAGTGATACCCACACCTCCACTTCACACTGTAGGAACACAACCGTACAGACTGCAGACGGAATTGGTGACAAATTGATAGGATGTTTCAGTGTGATTTATTTAGCTTCTGAGAAGAGTCCAGATCAGCGCATGACTCTTTGGAAGGAGAGAGTATGTTGATGATTGAATGAATGATTCCTCCTTTCATTGGTTCCTCTTCTCTTCTTCCATGTGACCTCAGCCGACCTACTGTAGCACTGTCTGCCATCTCTGTTCGTACAGACTCAGGAAAGGGACTTCAGAATTGAATACATTTTTTTTAAAGGCACTACCAACTGGAGGAGTAACATCAGAGATTTAGAAAAGCTGCCCCAGCCTTGGAGTCTCCACTTCACCTTCACATCATGCTCCAAAATTGAAGGTCACATGTCGGTCCAGTGTCACTGACATGCCATGCTGAGTGTCACGCTTCCTCCTTCGTACGTAGGTGCAGGAGGAGTTTTCAACAGTGTGGCGACAGATAAGAAAATGTGTCAGTGCAACAACAGTGTTTCCCCCTGTGCACTGCTTCCCAATGTTTACTTTACACATAGTTGACTTTATATATATATTTATATACAGTATATACACGCTGTACACGGTTTACCTTGTGCACTCTAAATGCACCGTCGGCTAATTACATTATTTCAAAACAGATTCCTGTACAAGCTCGCGTTGAGGGAAAATAAGAATACTAATGAAGAAGTCACACTGTAGACACTGACTGCTGTGTGAACGTTGAAGATAAGAAAAAAAATTACCCCTGAACAAATGAGTTAAAGTAAAGTAAATGAGATGAGCACTGCATAGTCTGGAACAGATTCCTGGTAGGTGAAAATGCAACACTCCTTCATATCTATGGGTTAATTGATATATGGATGTAGATAATAGCAGGTATTTCATGCACAGTTACCTTTGTATGACTCGTTGGTTACTTGTTATTTTTAAGCTATAGTTTCCAAGCCTTTCTATAAAGGCTTGTGTTGTTTGGGGTTTTTTTTTACATGTAATGTGGATATCTGTGTGCAGGATGGATGTGTGATCATAAAGCCATGCACTGATGGAGGTGGTGGAGCATCAAGCAGTCAGAGCAGCCCCGTCATGCTGATCACACAAATGAGTTCAAGGAGTTCATGGCATTAATCGGGGACGGGGCCTCCGAGCTCTCGTGGCCCTCGGCCGTGTCCCTGCTTCCACTTTTGCCACTATACTGGCCAATAAAGGAACCGTCCTCATTGAACTGTCCATCTCCTCCTTCCCCGTAGTCAACTAAACTGTCGTCACTGTCTTCTCTCTTAACAGTGCCATTAGAGGGCGTGCGGCTCCCTTTTAATGGTTTATGGTCCTCATTGTCACTGAAGGAGAAAATAACATGCAGGTGTTACAGGTGAGATGGTGTGACAGATGCAACAAACAGATCACAGTGATCACTTTTTTAGATGGAGCACCACACCGCCAATTTGTTATTGCCTACTAGACCAGATTTTTTTTTTAAACCACAGCTCGGGTCAATACTGTAAATAGCAATGAATTTTTCGTATAAAAGTTTGTTTGCTCCATGTCTAAAAAACAGTGGCTATGAATGATTAGTTGGTTTCCATCAGACAACAGGGGGATACAGTGCATGTAACCAAACTTCTTTCAATTCCCCCTGAAACCATAAATGAGGTGGTGAATGTGCTGCTTGACGAGACCCCCCCCCCCACTCAACACAGAGGCTGTGGTGAAAAGGCAATGATATGAGCAAGTCTTCAAAAGCACAAAAAAAGCTACAGCCAAAAACAACCCCCAAAAAGCAAGAGAGAAAATCGGCAGAAAATAATAATAATAATAAATTAAGCTTCTTAAAGTAAAGTAGGTGTTTTTGGACAAGAGATAATGGAAATCATTAAATCGTTAAAATCATTAGATAAGGATCAGGGACAACATATTTGACCATATTAGTGAATCTAAGTAAAACTGACTTAAAACAACAAGCAAAGCTAACCTACTAACTTTATCCAAGTCTCTCTGTGTTGCATGGACTTCATGACAGCAGTGGGATGTGAACAAAATGAGCATTTATTTTTCTCCATAGTGAATTAATGATCTACTGACCCCGCTGACACATGCTACGCTAACAGCATCAACTCAACCGAGCGCAGTGCCACTGCTGCTATCGTCATTTTGGTGGAGGCTCAAATCAGTGGTTGAATAAAAATGATCAATTACAGCATTAGAATAATTAAAAAAACCCAATTTAAACTTTTGCTTTTTTAATCATGAGACCCCTGCTCTAACCTAACCTGAGACTTTAGAGGAGACCTAAGACAACAAACATACACTCCTGGACATAAGACTCGCACTTTAGGTACACAAAGGATTTAAATTACAAGAATTGATCTGTTCACTGTAAAAAGACAGACTGAGTTGAGGTACGTTATGTTTTTATTCACACAAAGTTCCAGCTAAGCTTTAATACGGATATTAAAAATATGAGATTGTCAGCCCCTGATTTATACCAAATAATGAACCTGCAAAAAATTATATAATGCTATAAAAACTTCATTTTGGTAAATGGTCAAATGGAGGTTTTGATGAAATACTTAATAGGTTGGTTATTTGCCTGCATCACAGTAGTGATTTACAATTTATTCTTCATAAACATCACCAGTTTCAACGTCTAGTTGTGGTGTTTGCAGTAGGATTATTTGACATATTTTGTGTGGTTTTCAGGTGTTTTTTTAATAGACAATAAATTAAATCAGAAGACACACGCGAAACATAAGGTTACTACGGTAACAAGAGTTTACTGCATGTGATTCTTCTAACCCTGCTGAAAGAAGAAGAAGAGAACTTCATCTGAGGCTAACTATGGTATGCAGACGTCTGTCACCAAGTGAGAGTCAACTTGAGGTTACTGTAGGTGTCTTCACTCAGTCCACACTTATAAAGTTTCCCACTGGATTAGAAGTTAAACAGCTTTTAAAAAAAATCCACTTTTGACATTCTAAGAATCTAAATAATATTTATAGTGGGCATTTGTAGCTGTATTTGTATTCCACTGTACTGTATAGTTATTGCCTAGAGCAAAGTCTCATGTATCAGAATTTCACACATGCACGTCACATGTCCATATACTGTATGTATATATATATAACTATGTATAGTTATATATATACATTTATATATTTATTTATATATAATAATAAGTATCTATCACAGAGAAAATCCATATATCTATTGGAACAACATACAAAAAAAGAATACAATATATAAAAGCAAGACATTTTATAAATTACTTATACTACAAAAAAATATTCAAAAATGCAAACGATGCATTAAAGTGCTTTTTTTTTCCTGGCCCTACGTGCAATTGGAGAAGCAGCCCCGAAAGAACAAGCATGGCTGAGACAAATGAACTCAGCACTGAAAACGGGTTAGTCTTCTATAGACCAATGCATGATGGGTAGCTTACTATACTGCAGGAGAAATGCACGAGTCATTCAAAGATGCACCGCTAATGAATGTAGCTTATCTAGCTAACGTAGCTTATGTTAAAACCTGAACATGTCTGCTATGACAACACGATGACAACACACGGGTCCAAACAGGTCAGACATTAGGTTTGTCCAAAACCCCAGAAGAATCAAACATTGTGCTTCCTGGTGGGAAAGTTTGTCTGTTGGTTACAGAAGATCCTGGGTTAAAGAGGAGGAGGTTAAAGTGCACAGGTCTGGCTGTGACACAGGACACAGCCCAGCACAGAGTACCAGACAGGAGCAGGGGGTTATGGAAAAAAGTGGTCTCGGGGCCTTCAGAGGCTGCAGCTCTTTCTCTCACCTGTATTCCCCAAATGTGCAGTCTTCTTCTTTCATGGGCTGGAACTCGGGGTCTGTGTGAGCATCTTCTTTCTCTTTGACTGATGAGAGAAGAAGAGGAAGTTATGACGACAGAGTCAGCCACAACTGTGGCATGTGTCCCCAGGTTGACATCCTTTTTCATTATATTTGTTGTATATACAGATACTTTTATCAATAATTTTAAATTATTTACTCAACATTTCTGGTGAGCCTACATGGGGTTGTGACTCTACATTAAGGTGTTTTATTTTAAGTTAGATGTACCGTATTTTCCAGATTATAAATTACAATTTTTTTCATTTGGCTTGGTTTGCAAATAATATTCTGCTGCGATGTATATATTAAAATATATAACTTGGTTATGGTTGTTATTTTCACACTGGCAGCCACCAGAGGGCACTCTAGGCTTGTATACCAGTATCTGTTAATCCTGTAAACCTTGGCTGGTGCGACTTATACTCCGGAACGTCTCGTAGTCCAGAAAATATGGTAAATAAATAAAAAAAAACTACAGTACTATTTTATTGTAAAGTGCAGTATCAATATGCCTCAAAACCTACTACTCACCAGGGTATTTCCCTCCTTTATTCCTCTGGATGAAGCAGATTATGAGCAGGATGAGGATGAGCAGAGCGATGGCACACATCAGACCAATGAACCATCCCTGAGTGGCGATGTCCACCTGTCTGCTGGCCACGGCTGACCATGAGAGGAGAACAACATTTGACGTATACGATTGGAATTATTTTCAAAGTCACTGAGAAGAAAAACCCGGCCAGCGTTGGAGTGAAGTCGTGACTTTTTCACTACGATGCCTGCGCAGCTTAGTGCTAACACGGACGTGTCGCAGGACACAGCATGCTGAAAGTTTGTTAAAATGTTTTAGCATTTCCTAAAACCTGACTTGGTAGAGAGTTGAGTTCATGAGTGCATTAGTTAGAAATGTCACTGGTTAAGCTAAGTGTGGCTTGCATATATTAGAACGGCCACAGGTTTGTGTGCAAAGAACATTTAGCACATTTACACAAAGACAGACACACACACACACACACGTACATTATAGTTGGTTGGGTCACACACATGAATCCACTCTTTTCCTCTTCTATATTAGAGTGATGTCATCTTCTTTAGCCAATAAGACTGATGAAGTTATGTTGGAGCTTTATGAACATGCAGCTGCTACGGTAAATTCTGTCTCTATCTTCACTACAGGAAACGGCCGACAGACACAGGGTCACCACAACACATCTGTCGAACCCACACTTCACTGGGTCAACACCACAAACTACCACACAACGCAAGGTCAGGCCATGGCATGCTGAGGTCAAGGTCGAGGCGACCTCCCAGGAACTGCCTCACCTGGTACCGTGACCAGAAGCTCCTCGGAGTGGTGGAGCGGCTGGTCGTGGTGACCTTTGGCCACCAAACGCACTCTATAGGAGAGGCCCCCCTTTAAGCCCTTCAGCACAACGTTCTGAGAACCGTTCACAAGCTCTTTCTTCCATTCCCCCTTCACCTGCAGGGGGAGTTTCAGCGAGAGAGGTGTCTTTTAGGGAGAGGAGGAAACTTCTAGTGGCTTTGGTGAAAACAACGTGCAGATGGATTATATCTACTGACACGGACACTCTACAGGGACTTCTGAGTATGGGACTGATGGATGGTTCTCCTACAGTGTTAATGGTCTATAACAGAGGCTGAATCTGAGGCTGTCAGGAAACTGCAACTTCAGAAAAACAGATGCAAATGGGACGGAAACGATTTCACCGAACGAGCAGCACATGATCAGAACGACAGAAGAGCAAAAAATTAAACTCAAAAAGGCTTTTTGTGGACATATCTTATGAAATTGTAGCGTTGTATATGGGTTCGTTGCTTCGGTACTAAATAGCTTGGAATCACAGATCAGTGTTTTGGCAACTGTGAGGTGCGACGCAACTGGAAAACAGCCAACTTAAATGGATGTTGGAACTGGTAACTCACAGTAACATGTTCCAACATCAAAAGACAAATGTAATTTATCTAAGCTCAAGGCGTGAAGTCTGGAACATCTCGGGCTGAAGTGGAAACAGCCGATTATTGGCTGGCTTTTCACTCCTTAACCTTTTAAACGTAGCATTTGTTGCACATATGAGAAACTTAGAACTTATAGAGTCAGTTTGACCACATACATTGGTCTACTACTTAACAACTATAATTAATATATGTCTATTTAGTGCAGTGGTTCTCAAACTATGGTTCGTGTGCTACTAGAGCCACTTTTTATGGTAGTAATACTGGTTTTATACATATATAATATATTTATTTGATACTCAAAGTACCAAATACTTTCAAAAGTTTAAGAAGCACTGATCTTGTTTGCTCTGTATGATAACACTATGACATGTGCTAACATTCTTTTTGAGTGCTACACATGTGCTGCCAGTTTGATGATTTGTTTCACACTTTTTTTTTTTATTTCTTTATCCAACTGCCTACTGCTGCTTGACTGAAGTGGCAAAGCAGTCGGGCTTTTCGGTGCACATCCAGATGAGTTGAGGAATTAAATGTCAGATGCACTCGACTGATAAACACAAGATTATCTTTTCCATAACAGCGCTTTCTAAATTAATGAGATTTATGATAATGACCAGTGAATTCATTAAACAGTAGGTGTGAGAGAGCCATACGACCACACACCGCGCTTCAGCTCCGCTGCAGGTGGATAACAACAATGGGACGGCACTTGAGCCACAGTAAATTGGCACAGCGTGTGTGTTTGCGCTGCTTTTTAGTGCGTTTGTCTACAGAGGTCGAAGTGAGACTTTTGTGGGAAACATATGCACCTCAACAATGCTGTGTAATTAGTCAACCAATCACAGTCAGCCTTAATTGCGTATTACATCTGGGTCCATGTTGGCAGAAGCCAATAGCAGTGAGAATGCCAATGCTATTATTCACCTGCACGAGCCAACACTGAAGTAGGGGTCTCTTGCCACCTGTATGTGAAACTAACACACAGAAATGCTCTGGTGATGCTTACTGTTCTCTACTATGTACTCTACATATACGTTCTTTTCCGGGCCCCAGTACTCCCAACTGATGAAGGCCCCGTCCTCTCCGACCGAGGAGCTTACATTCCCAAAAGGACTCGCAGGTCGCACTGAGCACACAGAGAAGGAAACAACAATCATGAGATTTGGTTTCTGCTGCTCGAGGGAAACAACCAGGTTACTGAGAATCACAGTTTGACTCTGACAGGATGTCGGTACATGCTATTAGCGTTTTTAAAATCGTATCTCATGGAGTCAAACACGATTAACTTCAACTACGGACAAGTGATCGTACGTAAGACGTGGACGTATCCATCTCTGTAAACTGGAATAGCTGTAGTGTTCCACTGAAACCAGAACTAGGTCTGTCAGTATTTGGGGAAATCAGTCTGATTGAATTATTATGTTACTAAAAATTATATAATCTCATTAACATGCGAGAATTTCATTTCTTTGCCTCATTGAAGGATTGAAAATTAAATTCCTAATTTGTGAAAAATATTTTCTCAGGGATGAAAAACCTGTTAACTGTAACAGAGCTGGTGTGTCGGAACTGCTGCTGACACCAGAGAGACGTGCAACAAATTATTAAAATCAGACTTTTTTTTTAGAAATTATAACTGTCTTGAAATGTTTTGACTTTTTATTGTATTGTAAATACACTATCTATTTTACTGTACAGTCTCTAGGCAGTGTAAACTTTATTCTTTTTCTCCTCTCGTCTCATTCCCTTTCCTTTCTGTTGCTGCAACATGTGAATTTCCCCCAATTTGGCTTCAATTACGTCCCATCTAATTGAATCGACTCTACTTTAATCTAACCTAACCCAATTTCTTACTCCAATTTTACTACTAAAGTCAAGGTTTCCTGTCCTCTCTAGATGTGATTTTTACATTGTTATTATTGTTTTTGCAATAGCTTAGCATGGTGTAAAATACTGATGTTACTCTAAAACTTGGCTTTGGAGTAGCCTTCATTTTATCAGTGTTATGGCTTCACTAACAGCTGCAGATGGCTACATTCAAATCTTACATACGGCCGATGTTCAAGACACTGATATGACAACAAAATGTATTAGCATATGAGGTGAGCTAAGGTCGCAGCAGTATTTGTACCCTTGTGGTTTGGACGGTGTGGAGAAGGCTGAACAATGGGGTGAGAGGTTTGGGTGTTTCCTGCAAACAACATGAAAAAGGTATAAAAACAACACCGTAGACAACAAACAGGGAAACACCGAAACACATTCATCAGACACACCACCGACGCTGGGATCACTGTTACTGTTACACACTGCACACAGTTCACCGACAGGCCAAGCCAAGCAAAGCAAAGCGAAGCCTTGTCATGCAGCGGGAGGCGACGCCGTGAGCCGAGAAGGAAGATGTGAGAAGGAGGTCAAAGCTGCTTAGATAATCAGGGTACGTTTATCAATGACATCGATATAAAATCAGGGCAGCACACAACAGCTCCATCCACTGTACGCAGGCTTGACTCTCGCCAGCTTTGAACTCAGTGGTGCATTTGGCCGGGTANGGGGGAGGGGGGGTGCATGCCTGCCGTGGGCTGCTGCAGGGATTTGTCTGAATATGTAAACAGACAGCAGTCCACTAGACACCACTGGTACCTTCAACCACATCTGGGTCTAGCGGTGGCATCAGAGCTTGTGAAGAAACAGGTGACAGAAAAACAACAGGACAGGAATGGTTACAGGATGACCCCTGACCTCCTGACCCCCTGACCCCCGACATCTCTTCATCTATCAGTGCACGTACTGTGAAACGTTTGGGCGGTCATGCCGAGTGAGACAAATGCATTCAATTGAGACTGTTAGTCTGAGGGTCTAACACTGGGAGGGTCACCTTCACCCATAATGCACCTCATCAAGCTCATGTTGTTCAACAGGGACGTGAATGAAAATCAAATGAATAAAATTATAGAGATACAAAAATTAAATATAGTGCCTTAGATATAATGAGCGTTACAGGGTGAAAGAACATCTGTGTCATTTATAATAATGTTCATCCTCAGTGAGTGGTTCTGTGGTGAGATCACATCTGTCCCTTTAACTCCAGACATTATTCTCTCATAAATATTTTTTTTAATTTTAAAAGACAACAATTCTTATTAACTACTGATTGTGAATTGTCTTAGCAATCAAGAATTTGTCTCAGAATAATTATTTGGAATAAGAAATTTATTTTAGACCATGACAGCCAGCTTTCTTCTAAAAAAGGGGCTTTTTTTGCATTTGGCTAACGTGAAGATCGTAATGAAAACAACAAAGAAAATGTTTTTCAATCTAAATGATTAATTCATTTTCATACAAATTTAAATACTTCTTTTTAGGTGCTGGGTATATAGTACTGTAAAGTAAAAAAATGGATGAACCAATAATGTAAAAATACACAGGTTGAATCACAACAGAAAGAAATGTGATTTTACCATGAGTGATCCTAGAAATACAGTCAAAAAATATAGAATTTATTTTAAAACAAATTCTTAAATGATCTGATAATTAGTGAAACCTACTTAACAAAATATTTGAAATTTCCTGCCACAGCAACCATTCAAGTGTAAATTAAGTACAGACTTAAAACACAACCACTCCACATATAAATGCAGATTACCTTACTGTTTATAAAATGTTTAAGGTGGAACTTTTTTTTTCGATTTTTCAACGTCCTTATCAGTGGACTTACCTTCATCCATGATGGTGATGGCCTCCTGAGAGACGGCCGGGCCCGCTCCCCTGACTGTTTTGGCATTCAAATAAAACTTGTAGCGCGTGCTGTACTTGAGGTTGGGCAAAGTGACTGAGGTCTCATTGGAGAGCAGGGCCAGCTCCTCCACTGGGCCCAGCTCGTTGGAGTTATTGACTACAGGGGTGGAGGACGGACGACAAGAGTGGTGGGATGGGAGAAGGTGGAAGTTTTAAAGTGGTAACAAATAATTAGGAGGGATTTGTAGATGACGGGAAAAAAAGAGTGGAAGAGACAGCGTTTGAAGCACAGAGGTGCAGGGTTCAGGAGGAGAGTGACAAAAGTGGATCTGTTAATCTCCGTGGTTGGATATTAAATGAACTTATCTGATTCATTATTCTTCTAAACTAGAAATTTGACTTTGTTTAGAATGACATGAAACAGAATGAACTACCAACTCTACATGGCCGAAGGTGAAAAACCACCTGCACTGTGTCAATTTTAAAACTCAGTTTTCCAAAGCCTCACCTGGCTGGTATTTGAGGGTGTAGCCGGTGATGTGTCCGTTGCGGTCATGAGGAGGACTCCACTCCAGGGTGAGGGAGTCCAGGTCTGAGTTTGTGACTGTGAGAGAGGAGGGTGGTCCAGGAACTGTGGGAGGAATGGAACTTTACAGTTAACTGAGTTAATCCAAACACGTTATTGTTGTTATGGCAAATGAATAATCATTGAGATGGAAAATGGTTTTGTGTAACTGATTGCTTTTTTATGTTCGCTATTTCTTTTGGATTTTTCTTTTGTATTCTTTGTTTGTGGGAAGTAGGTTACATTTTTAGTTTTAATTTAACTTAAAATTGCAAAAATATTTCCAAGAACCAACTTAAAAGTTGCAGTATTTTTCCATGCAAAACTCTTATCAATTGCCATAATAGTATTACGTATAAAACATAGTAAAAAAGTTGAAAAAAATAGTAAAAAAAAAATAGTATAATTGTATAGTAATATAGTATAAAAATATAGTATAAAAAACGTCAGCCTAATTTTTTCAAATAATTGAAATAAGATTATAAAAGTGAATGTGTTTCCATCCTTACCTCCCTCTGGGGTCTGAAACTGCTGGTTGGGACTGGCAGGTCCCTCTCCTTTCCCGTTATACACTCTGACATTGAAGGTGTAGAGGCTGAAGGGGTGAAGGTCAGGCAGCCTGCCGTGGGTGTGGTTCCCAGTGAAGGTGAGAATCCGCTTCTCATCGTGGTGAGGGTTGTGTTTGTGGAGGCTGTGTGCCTTCCAGTAGTACACCTGCAGGACAGAGTTGTGTACCGTGAGCACTGACGTGTGTCTTTGTTTTTCGTGGTCGTGTGAACGTCACGGCGCGTGTGTCTCACTGCACCTTGTATCCCTTCAGTTGTCCTCGTATTAATTTGTGAGGCACGGGTTGCCAGTGCACCTCTGCCATTGTGCTGTTCAGCATCACGGCCTGGACGTTGTCTGGATACGCTACTGGCACTGAGCAGGAGAAAAGTAAGAGGGTTTAAGGAACAGAGGAACCAGGCTGAATAAATGATCCAGGGTACACACAGCAGTGTTTCTCCTCTGGTACTAGTACTATATATAGAGTAGGTGGAACTCACAGTCTTCTCCTGAGAAGCCGTGGACGGCTGTAGGCTCAGGTCCAACTCCATGATCGTTCATCGCCTGAACCTTTATCTCATATGGAACAAACGTGGGCGTCCCAGACACAACGAACCTGGAGTTGTTGGCTACAGTCTCTGAGCTCCACTCGCTGTCCCCCGACTTCTGCCTCCACGAGACACGGTAACGAAGCCCCGGGCCGTTGGACTGGAGGCCGGACAGCGGCTGCAGAGAAGAAAGTTTGAAGTAACTTTGAAGTACTTTTCTGTTTACTGAACAGATGCAGTTTTATACAGACTTATATTGTTGCAGATAATGAATAAAGAAGGAGAATGGGAAGCTGTTAAATGTTATGGTGGTTTTAACAGCTTTTAATTACCTTCCAGGAGATCACAAGATTGTCATGTTCTGTTCCAAATCCCTCCACGCCTGTCGGGTTCTGGTCCGGAGCTGCGAGAAATAAAGATAAAAGGTAGACATTATACAACAGACGACATTCTCCTGAGGCGACGCAGTAGATTGCAATTGCAATAACCAAGAGAGGAAGTCGGACTAAAGTGTATTAAGGGGAATGACAGCAGTTTGAACGATGATTTGGTGGAATCTCTACCTGCAGGATCGGTCTTGAACACCCTGGAGGGGAAGCTGGGGCGACTGAAGCCCACAGCATTGAGGGCTAAAACTCTGAAGGTGTAGTGGACGTAGGGCGACAGCTTCAGGTGAGCTGTGGTCTTGGTGCCGGGGACCTCGGTGAGATTATGCCAGTGACCTCGGTGGTGCAGCGAGTCTTCATACTGGATCAGGAATTCTGTGTAAAAAAAAAACAAAAAACAATTGGTAAATCATGCATCAAATACTCATTCGATAGAACTAAATTGAAGGTAATGGAGGTTTGTGGCCCTGCTTGTCATAGGATTGTTTGTCTAGAACTGCTTTTACACAGTAAAAAAAACTCTCTGCATTGATTGCATCTATTCAAATCTAAATTCAAATCGTCTCCATTCAGGCTCATAAGAATTATAAACTTTTTATGTTTGCCCCGCAGTAGATAAATTAATTTGTAGAATCCTAGTCATCTCTAATTCCGGAATAATAAAGTTCAGCCATTATCTGAAAAAATAAATAAATATTTGAGTATTCAAACTTTGAGTGTTTACTGTTGCACACCTCTGTCCTAGCATCTAATCCTAATCCTTACTCTGACTCTAATCTGACCCTAGATCCAGACTAATAATTGGACCTTTAAAATATCCTCCAGGTAGGGACCTGCAGAATGTCCCAACAAGGACAGTGTCCCCACAAGTATAGCTTTACCAGTCTCTCACACACACACACACTCAGAGAACCAATACCTACTCTGAATGGGACTGTTATGTTCGTCCCCAGGGATCCACGTGATCTGGACACTCCTCTTTTTCTGGTCGGTCAGCTCTATGTCGGTTGGGGGGTCGGGTCGCTCTGGTGGAGGTGCATCACAGCGGTCAGCGTTTTGAATGCGACATATCGGCTTTTACACTGACGTCACAACACAGTCACACGACCACCACACAGGTTCATGCCGTGAAAAGACGAAGCAGAATCAAAGCCAATGTTCAATTACAGTCGGCGCCGAATCATTTCAGTGAATTCTGAGCCAGTGATTTTTTCTTCCTTTTTTTTCTGGAAGTTCATTTTGACAGCGTTATTTGTACTCTGACAAACATGCAGACGCTGCATCATGCATATGAAATGAACGATGATCAATTTCGCCGTCTTCCATAATCACCCTGCGTGAAATGGAGGTTGCGGCTCACTCCGGAGGTTCAGGGCTCATGTGTTGGATTTGAATTGATAAAAGTTAAACGTGTGCTTTGAATTAATGAGCTGGGAGGAAGTGGTGGGTGTGAGCATCACAGATAGACTTTGAATTAAAACACTGGCAAGAAATTACAGAAATTACATTCTGCCTCACTTAAAAACTTAAAAATGTAAAAATACATTTAAAAAAAAGCACAAAAAAAAGCACTGCCAGAAAATTATAAATTAAAACACTATCACCAACAGCATCATCAGACCACAGCATGCTGCAATGAATAAACAAAAAATACATGTCCACGTGGAGCAAGAACACATGTGGGCGCTGTGGTGCGCTGCAGGTTTACCGTGGAGAACAGCAGGTGTGGGCGTGGCCTCTGCCAGGTACGAGGGCAGGAGTGAAATGGATTTCAGTGTTTGGTCAGTGGTGGGAAAACACGTGTGTTTAAGTGGCAGTGTGAGGAGGAGGAGGGGTCAAATATTCACACTGCTGACAACACGACAGTGTGTTGACCTGTCTTCACAGTCCACACTCCGAGGTCAGAGTCATCACACGGTATGGCTGTTAGAAAAGTCAGAGTTTTTACACGTACCAACAACAGTGAGCTCAGCACTGGCCGAGTCATGGTCCAGAGTGGTGTTGGTGATGCAGGTGTAGACGCCAGCGTCACTGTCAGTCACATCAGTGATGGTGAGGCCGTCAGTGTCAACAATAAACCTGGGAAGAAAAACCCCGGAAAGTTCAGATTTTGTAGACCTCTGTCGAAATCATCTACTAAAGGTAGACCGGTCCAGTCTGACCTCTCGTCGTCAGGCAGCTCTCCGTCATCTCTGAGCCAAGTGGTGGTGGGGACGAGTGTGGGGTCGTGCTTCACCTTACAGTCAAACACCACAGAGCCGCCCCTCTGGACCACTTTGTACTCCGGCTGGTTTAGGATGCGAGTGGGCTCTGATGAGACGGCAGGGAAGAATACAAGGACAGAAAATGTCAATGGGTTTTTGTTATTTAAGAATACAATATTCAGGATTTAGCCCCATCTGGTGGTGAAGGTAAATTTTGTGGTTGAATAACAAATGAGCATTTTCTATATATTTCATACATATCCATATATACATGCATACAAAATATAAATATATGTTTGTATATGACATATATAAACATATCTAAATATACAAACACAAATATTTATACATCCAATACAGTTACCTGAATATATACTGATATACTGACCTTTGACCTCCAGGTAAACATGATTCTCAGAGATACCGAGGTTATTTCGGGCCACGCAGGTGTATTTGACACTGTTTCTGCTCTGAGCCGTGGGAATCTCCAGAGTTCCATTGTCGTGTTGAATGTACGGTTCTCCCTCCAGAATGCTGAAGCGGCTGTCTTTAAACCTGAGAGCCAGGAGGAGAGATGAGGGGGAAATGCTTTGAGCTTTCAAACATATTTAATTTTCTTTTTGAAAAAAAAAAAAGAATCTATTCACTCACCATGTAATTTTCGGGATGGGTGAGCCAAAGAAAGAGCAGTCAATCATGGCCCTGTGATTTCTGATGACCTGGTAGACTTTGTTGGCCGGCGTCAGCACTCTGGGCGGCTCGGCTGCAGTGAGGCAGCAGAAATCACCGGCGTGTTATTAGGCTCCAGACGATCAATGGAAAACATTAGTGAAATGCAAACGGAGGAAGGAACAAGAACTCACACAGGACGTTGACGAAAGCGTTGGACAGGAGGTAACCGTGTTCGTTGGAGACGTTGCACTGATAGACAGCGCTAGATCCGGAATGGACGTCGGTGAAGATGATGGTGTCGTCTTCCACCAATCTGCTGGGATCCTTAGGAGCATCTGGTCACGGAAAACAAGTGGTTCTTCACTTTGACTCTCTCTCTCTCTCTCTATATATATATATATACAGTATATATACATATATATATATATACAGTATATATACACACATATAAAACATATATATATATATAGAGTATACTGTCTCACACACACACACACTGACAGGGTCTTCTAATGGACGTCGGTGAAGATGATGGTGTCGTCTTCCACCAATCTGCTGGGATCCTTAGGAGCATCTGGTCACGGAAAACAAGTGGTTCTTCACTTTGACTCTCTCTCTCTCTCTCTATATATATATATATTATTTATGTGTATATATACAGTATATATACATATATATATATATAGAGTATACTGCATATACTTATATAGAGTATACTGTCTCACACACACACACACTGACAGGGTCTTCTAATGGACGTCGGTGAAGATGATGGTGTCGTCTTCCACCAATCTGCTGGGATCCTTAGGAGCATCTGGTCACGGAAAACAAGTGGTTCTTCACTTTGACTTTCTCTCTCTCTCTCTATATATATATATATGTTTTATATGTGTGTATATATACTGTATATATACACATAAATAATGCATATACTTATATAGAGTATACTGCATATACTTATATATATAGTATGTGGTACATGTTATTTATTTCCCACCCTTAAAAGTGTTAACTGAATAATTAGACCAACAGTTTTATATCCCAAAATTAGCCAAACCCTGTTTTGTCCATAATAAGATATGGGAACAAGATAAATAAAAACAAATGGCTAGTTTTAAATATACTAATTAACAAATAAGATGTCTTCTAAGACTAAAATAAGTGAAGCAAAATAAAGAACTTGAATAAAATCCTTGAGTTGCAGTCTTTGAGTTTTCTTAATTAATGCTACAATAATACCACAACTCACTAAAAGGAGGCCGATGCTACACATTAGACTCGAAACTAGAAAATCACTTATTGCTTCTTCCTCTGTTAGGAGTTGTTGCAAATGATAACGTTTAAATGTAATTTGTTTAATTATTAAAGAAAATAAAAAAAATACATTCCGGGCTCATCAGCAGCAGTGGGTCAGTGGGTATATTAAAATGGGGCGGGGTCACTCACTCTCTATGCTGATGCCGTTCATAGCCCAGGTGATGGAGGGCTTGGGCGTGCCACTGGCCCTGCAGGTCAGAACACCATTCTCTCCTGGAGCCATGACCAGGTTTCTGGGAGCACCAGCGATCCAGTATGGAGCCGCTAAAACAGAAGGAGAGAAGAGAAGAGAAGACTGGAGGGTTAATCAGAGAACATGCTAATCATCTCTGAGACAGAGGGAGAAGGAAGAGGGAGAGCCAGGAGGAAGGAGCTGTTCTCCCACATGGAGGTCTGGCCTGGTCCACCGTGTGTTTCATCAGTGACAAACCTCGGACCGTGACGTGGATGGTGTGGTGTGTGGAGCCCAGCTGATTCTTGGCAGTGCAGCGGTAATCTCCAGCGTCGGATTCGGAGACGTTCACAATGCGCAACGTCTTCTGGTAGTGCAGGAAGGACGTGCGTCTGGCCGGGAGTTCGCTGCTCACTTTGAACCAGGAAACCTCCGGCGTGGGTCTGGGGGAAACAGTGAAGGAACAAGAAGTGGTGATGACGATGACACTGGAGCAGGTGGTCACTCAGGGCTTTGGAGAGAGATCTGATTGGCCATTATTTTACTCACAGCCCTTCTGCGATACACTCCATCTCCAGCACCTGTCCTCTCAACACCATCTTGGAGCTTGAGGAGCCAGATGGGATGAGGAATGTCGGCCGCCTCTCTTCTATTGGGTCTTCTATGGACAGAATAAGAATGATGAAGAGAGAAGATAAAAGGAAAGGATCCAGAAAGAAAACCTTCCAGTATTTTTTTATATATATATATATCAATCTGAACCAGACCCATTTACTCTGTGATGTGAGAAAGTCTCTTAATTAATACAAAGAACTGAAGGTTATTTAACAGATTCACAGATTTGTTAGCGAGTGAGAGGATTATTTAGCCAAAAAAAAAACATAATTAAAATGACTGAAAATGTAAAGAAATAATATAATAAAATACAAGAGAGTAATGAGAACACAAATGTTAAATATGAAAAAGAGGTGAAGTAAAACAAGGCAGCAAAAGAGTGAATAAATACAAATAATGTTTTGGGGGTTTTTTTGTACCACCACCTGCCTGCAATTATTATTTTACAGATTCTTTGTTTTTATGTTTCCGTCTATTCAGTGGAATCATGAAGAAGAACAGTTAGGAGAAAGGTTGGATACAGGAGTGGAAGTCCATTGAAGGGAGAATCAGGTTCGAGGCTAATGTTAGTTAACAGTTCAGATCAATGTGCCAGGTATAATCACTAGGGGGTGCCAATGTCACCCCTAGTAAAGTCAGGGTTACTGTACGGACGAGGAGATGTCTGGAAGAGGGAAAGTGTTTATTAGTGGGGCAGGAGCAAGAGTTCGGAGAGGCAGGGTGGTCGTCACAGACACTGGGAGGAGTGGGAGGAACGGGGAGGTAAAAACTCACCACTAAATAAATCAGTGTCATTGTAAAAAGCTGGGATTGTGTCATTGATTGCATCCACTGTAACACAACAGAGAAACCACACAGACAAAACACGAGTGAAAAACAAATAAAACAGAAGTCATGTTTGACAAAAATTAACTTCAATAAAACAGAGAAACTGAAAAATGAAGTCAAATCAAACGACATAAAAACACGGTGGCAGCAGTCGGGGCCTCAGCACCATGACAAGATGCCTTTGTTGACGGAGCCGCGTGCGTCTCACAGCGATCAACGCCTGATTGGCAGACACGGCAGGACGCCAGCGAGACTGTCCACAATATGTCTTTTCAGTGGGAGGACAACCACTGGCTTCTCTCAGGACTGGATTAGAGATAGGAAACACTGTTCCCCTCCTACACAGTCATCTACATACACACTTACTGTACACACACACACACACACACACTGACAGGGTCTTCTTGGCTACATTTCAGCGACTCCTCTTCCACGCACACTCATTTGGACTTACGGTTGATGACCCTGACGTTGATGGGCTGCTTCTGCTGGATGGTCTGCGTGTGTGGGAAGCGAGCGTAGCAAGTGTAGTCGTTCCTGGAATCTTCTCGGAGAACGTTAGAGAAGTAAAGGTCTCCATTCAGGGACTGGGACACTCTGCCGCTCTGAGGAAGCCTCTGGAAGTCTGGATGCAGGGCAATTCAAATGCACACATGAGTGCGACCTGTCGCCTGAATATTCATTCAAACGGGTTATTTCTGTGGTTTATTCCAAGAGCAGAATCTGCTAAGAAGAAGAAAAAAATGACTCTGGATCCAAAGCACAAATAAAACTTTTTAGTATTTCAGGAACCTTAACAGCCTGAAGCCCAGCTGCTCACATCAACTCATCACCAGCCCACTCACTGGCTTTAATGAAGTTTTTATAGGATTTTTATTTTTTCAATGTCTATCTGCAGAAATGTTTCTGTTTTGATTAATATGATTTGTTAGCACATAAAAAGATTTTTATTGGATGGAAGCTCCAGATACTCAGTCTGTCAGGATTGTTATATTTGGCAAAAAATAATAATAATAATTTGATCATTTTTCTCCTGCTTCTTCTCACTGCTCCCTTCAGGGGTCGCCACTGTGCCTTATCTACTGTTACACCAACCATCACTCTGTCCTCTTTTACTACATCTATAATCTTATCTGAGCTCTTTCTCTTCTTTTCTCGACAGGCAGTTTTATCTCAAGTTCAACATTTGTTGCACCAAAAAAACATTTTGATCATTTTAGTACTTGTCCTGTTCTTATTTGTGTGTTTGACAGACTTGCTCCACTGAAATAAATTTATTTTATTTTATTGGGCCTATACTGACAGGTAGACCTCTGAGAGTTGACTATGCTAATTTAAGCTAAAATGAGCAACATTTCATCAAAAATATGGTATATTGATTACAGAATGAGAGACGCAGACAATTAGTGAAAATCTAGGTAACAGCAGGCCCTGTAATGTTGCTCTTCAAGGCCAACAACAGTAAAATACTCAATTCTCATGTACATGAAAGAGGCCAAGAGGAGCAGTGCTTACTATTGTCCATCCAGAATATTATGGGAGGGGGGAGACCAGCAGGCGGTCGACATGGCAGCACCAGAGAAGCTCCCTCCTGAATGACGATAGGCTTGATTTGCTCCTTTGACCACAAGGGGGATCCTGGATTGGTTACAGAAAGAGCCGGAGTCAGTGTGACGTCAAACGTAGGCTGTAATGTTATAAAGTAACGGAGCATATCTGGACTGCTGGGAGAGAGAGAGAGAGAGAGAGGTGACGAACCAAGGTGATGAGGATGACTGAACTGACTGATGACTGAGGAGGACGAGTACAAAAGGACATTCAGGTGTGTGATAAAGAGAGCAGCTGTCTTTAACATGCACCTTTACCTGTCAGCAGAGCTCTTAGGATGAAAAATGAAACTTAGTTTAGAGAAAAAAAAACAGAAAGAAATGAAGTTTGTACGATGGTAGATCACTGAAACGATGATAATGATGAAGGAACAGGAGAAGAAAGAGCTGAACTGCACTCACTGGACTGTCGTATGACCATGTTGTGGGAAACAGCAGTTCCGTGTTTGTTCCTGGCCGTGCACTGGTACACCGCTTCATAATGGTCGGCCTTCTCCCTGCTGATGTCCACCACCAGGGTCCCCGAGTTGGGCTTCATGGTCACGTTGGGGTCCTCGTCGATGTCAAAGTGGGTCCCATCCTTTGTCCAAGAGAAGCTTAAAAAAAAAAAAGAAACTGACCTTAAGTGACCTTTTTATGTCAAGCCCATCACACTAAATCAAGGCAGTTCCTGCAGGAGACACTGAAGATAAGATAACCATTAAATGTAAATTATCATTAAATGTCAAGTTCTGGACAATACTCTTAAAAAAACTCCAAAAATGAGGTCAAATATGAAAAAAAAATTTTTTTTTAAATTTCCTTTTCAGCTCAGCTAGTGCCTTACAATGTGTACAATTTAGTGCAGGGTTGAGCATTAGTTTTTACCACACCTTGTACCAGTCTTTGGCGGCCCAGATCAGAAAGCCCAGTGGGCCGTATCTGGCCCACGGGTCGTAGTTTGCCCAGGTCTAATTTGGAGTTTGTGTTTATTCTGTTTAATTCATGGCCATCACTGGACAGATGCAGTCAGTATTTGACCCCGGGTTTTTTTTTTCTCCCCATGTGCCCTTGGGCAGTACCAATTTGTCCTCAGCTGAACTGCCGACCCGTTAACTGACAGCTCGACAGGTGGTGTTTTCCAGCATTTCATAACTCAGCATTGTGAATGCTTAATCACATTTGATGGGTTCCTACCTGGGATGAGGTTTTCCCTTGGCTTCACAGTGGATTACGATGTTCTCCCGTGGGTCGATGATGTAATCCTTGGGGGATTGGTGAGTTATGGTGGGCGGCTGTGGCACTAAAGGCGATCAGAAATAGGATGATATTTAATCACTAGAACCCTCATTGCATAACGTAATCCCGTTCTCTCTCTCTGCCTCTCTCTGTCTCTCTCTCTCTGTATTGACAACATCATTACATGTCACATGCTGACAACAAAAAAAAGCTTTTATAACAGCATCAAACAATCATGCAGGGCACACGGTTCATCTGACCTGATCTTGTCTCTATGATGCTAACGTTTTTTTTTTTCAGCACTTTTATCTCATTAAAGAATCACAGCAGACACAGACTTCCTAAAAATCAAACATAGCAGAACAGCGACCACTGCATGCAGGCCAATCACAATCTGCTTTGAACAAAAAAACAAAAACAAACCACAAATTCAACAAATCAAACAAAGAGCTGGATGCAGCAAACACAGCAGAATCACTGCAGTGATTTCACACCGGTGTCAGACTTACATTCCCTCAGAACTTTAGTGTTTTTTTCCCCCCATGAATCAGCAAACAAGGAAAGAAAAACAGGTTAGTACGGAGAAACATCTTCCTGCATTATTTATACTTCAGATCAAAGTTTGGACCAGGACAGCGCCCCCACCCCCCGAGAATGATGAATGTCAGTTTCCACTGTTCAACAGAAACAAGAAGAGTAACATCTAGACCAGAGGCTGTTTTATGTCCACATCACAAATATGATGTTTGATTTCTACGGCACCAATAGAAAACATGTGTTTTTGCATAATAAAAAATAAAATTTAAGAAAAAAAGTGAATAGAGCTAAATGTTTACATCACCTGACTAAAGGTCAAATTGGACTTTCTAATAACATTCTGCAGAAGCATAGTAACTGTAAAATTGTAATTTTCGCATTTTTCACATACAGTAAAAACACTGATCCAACTCTAAATGCTTTACTCTTCAATGTCACAATTAAAAACGAAAAAAAAAAAGGAACCATTCTTTCAAACTTCTCTGAATGTTTAGCAGTTAAATAACTCCACGGCCTTCTCCCCTCTGACTGTTCTGTGACTCTGTCTGTGTTCTGTTGCCTTACGATCTAGTGGGACCTCCAGCGAGGCGGCGAGGTGTCCCATTATCAGCAGCAGCAGTGCTGGGTCCATCCTCCTCCTCTCCAACATCTTTGACACAAAATTCTTCCGGCGAAAACTTCGGTGCCCCGTCCCTCTGCTTGGTCACGCGGCGTGAGGTTGAAACAGTCCCAGCTGAAGGGAGAAGAAAAGAACAGGAGAGAAAAATGGCATGAAACATGAGCACAAGTGTGAATGACACAGTGAGCGAGTGAGGCTATCAGTCAGAAACCTCGGTTCATTCTAGTCTGCGTTCAACAGCTGCTGAGGCTGCTGAGAGGGAGAGAGAGGGAGGGAGAGAGAGAGGGAGGGAGAGAGAGAGGGAGGGAGAGAGAGAGGGAGGGAGAGAGAGAGGGAGGGAGAGAGAGAGGGAGGGAGAGAGAGAGGGAGGGAGAGAGAGAGGGAGGGAGAGAGAGAGGGAGGGAGAGAGAGAGGGAGGGAGAGAGAGAGGGAGGGAGAGAGAGAGGGAGGGGGAGAGAGAGGGAGAGAGAGAGAGAGGGGAGGGAGAGACAGACACGTGAAGCTCTGTCCACAGATCAATGCCAGTTGCAAAGCAGTGCATTTTGCTGGGAGCTATCTTTTTGATCTAGTGCACACCGATGGGGAGCGACACGGCCCACATGGGCTCATTGTGCTCCGGCTAATCACTGCTGCGGCTATGACGCCATTGGGCTTTTCTGCCATATTGATCACGATGGGCCGAGAGACAAGACATGAGGACACTCTCTCCTCTGTCCAGTTCACTCCCAGCTTTATCTGTCTGATGGAGAGGCTGGACGCGGTGACAAAGTCGGAGGCAAAGTGATCTGCACTGAGGTCAGATTTTAAAGGCTGAAATGAGACGACACCAGCGGGAAACAAGAGTGGACTTCTCAGTCATCAGTCAGTCAGTCTTCTCTGATCTGAGAGGCTCAAAAGGCTCTGAGACTTGAGAAGTTTTGTTATGTTTTTAGGTGACTCTGTAGGCTACTTCGAGGACAAGGGTGATGTGTCTGAGAATCAGAACGTACACCCTCCACTTCTGTCACCTTGAGTGGTTTTTATCTACAACTTTTAAAGCTGTCCCACCAATCAGGCGATCCTGTCCCCATAATCTCCAACTTCAGCATCTGCATCTCTGCCACGTCCAGACAGGCTTCTTCTAGTTTTTAAGATGATCAGATGTATCAGAGAGAAGATCAACTAGAATCTATCTAAAAACAAAAGCTGTTAAACAATGAACAAAGAATCAGAAATCCAATTCATTTCTGTTACCAACTGCTGCCTGCTCTGGTTTGACTACCTTATTTTTTCACGACATTTTTTTCAAGTCATCGACGAGTACAAGGCCGACATGTCACAGCTTAATTTAGAGACTAATTTGACCCGAACCATCAAATGGTGGATATTCATGCCTGTTATTACATGACAGAATTAAATAAAGGCCATTAAAGGTGGGCACTGCACCCCCCTGCCCCCTGCCCCAGGGCTCAGGGTGGGTTAGAGCTGCAGACGAGGCCGTGGAAACAGCGTCTGGATCCACAGGCAGCACCGTCAGACATAGGCCAAGTACTCCTGAGGGAACTGGGGTATTTGTTAGTGCTGCCCCCGAGTCATGATTCAGAACAGACCCCCCCCCCCGAGTCATTGAGGGGCTCACATCCCGGCGGCCCACAGCTCCCACCGCGTCTCAAGAGAGGAGCCGGCGTCGCTCGCCAAGGGCACCCAATCACAGGGCTGTGATTAGGAGCTCTGTCTTGGGATCTGACATAAGACGATGGAGGAGGGAGAGACGGGGGGCGGAGCAATTTATGTTCCCTCATTTTTTAAGGCTGCTGGCATGTCAGCAGAACCTGATCAAGGCTGAAGACCAGACCTTGACCTTAGATGTTCACCTCATACCGACCATGGCAGACACTGATAACCAGGTCCATGAGAGAAAAAAGTCATTAGCTTTTTAGTATGAGCTTATTTGTGAGTGATATTTGTGTTTCTGTATAAATAATATTTGACATATACATATATACACAAATATATATTTAGCATCAGTGCATCACTTTAAAGACTATTTAGACTCAGCTTTAACAAGTATTTGTATACTACCCTTGCTGACCTGAAGTACTCTGCGTCAGCGAGTACTTAGCAACAGCTGCTCAGTTAACCTATATTGCTAATTCAATAGCTAATTTTAAGCCAATACATTCAAACCCATTTATATCCCAGTCACCTTCTGTGGCCTCTGTGTGGATGTAGAATATACACTATGAACTGCAAGTGACAAAACTTCACCCATAGGTGGCAGTCTGCACAGAGCCTACACAGAAACCTGGAGACAAAACGACGCGGGTTCCCACATTCTGTCCATTTCCCACCCACACGGGTGCCACATACAGATGCCGGCTGAGGACATGTGCTGGATTTGGCTCCGCAGAGTCTCAGGTGAAGTCGGGAGAAAAAACAGTGACAGCATGAGAATAAATGGGTTAATTATACGTTTTATGGTGAATCCCTGAAAGGAAAGGTGCCAGAGCTTCATTCAGGATTTTATTTCCCAATTTAATGAGGTGAAGCAGCTCAGCACTGCTCCTTCAGCCTGTATGTGTGTGTACTGTATATGTGTAGCTGTAGTGTGTGTGTGTGTGTGTGTGTGTGCTCTAATGATCTCTCTGAGCTGCAGTGATACAGAACCAACCCGTCTCAGTCGGATGTACAGCAGAGGGAACTTCAGAGCATGAACCTCTCAGCCGCTCTCATCACACCTGAACACTCAGCAATAAAATGTTTCAATGATGTGAGTTTACCCAACAAGGGTGTGGCATTCCCATTGTTTTACAGTAGCATAATGTGAACAGGAAACAATAACAAAGCTGTCTTTAAATAAATCACTAACAGGGTGCATTTACCTATAAACTATCTGTGTGTTACATAAGCAGGGACGCTGGAGCTGGAAACTCAGGCCAGATTTATTCTGCTGAGGATAACATTTATTCTGTGAGCTGCTGCGCCAAGAGTTGTCAGGCATTTCTTTTAAAAACAAACCTGGAATAGTGGGCCGGGACATTTCTTGTTAGCGTTATCTGACTGTAATATATTTTAAGTTTGAGTGTAGATACAGGGAAGGTTTGACTGCAATTGATGTAAAAACTGTCAAAACTCCAGACAGGATCCCTAACATTAGGCTGAAAATGTAAAACACTGATAAAATAAGAAACAAATAAATGTATTATAAACAATTATAAAAAAGAGAAAGACGAAGCTCCGTGTCCTTTTCTTCTGTCGTCAGACTCACCATCAACATCAGTTCCAGTTGGTCCATTAGTTTGTATTCTGTTGCTTAATAATACTTTTTGGCTACTTTATATTCTGCAGATACAGTTTTGCAGCATACTTTTTCTTTTTAGAGCCTTTTTATAAGATACGACGTTCTGATGGTTTTTTTATGTTTGAGGAAGTCTTTATGGTTCAGTAATGTATCATTTTCACTGGTGTTTTTACAGTGTCGACGCTGCCCTCTTGTGCCACTAGATAGCGTTTTTTTTATACAAGACACAGGAACAGCTGAACTACTAGTCCTATGATGATCACCTACGTAGTAAAAACTACTTAAATATATAATCCAGCTTTTAACTAACCTCTTAACTAGTAATCACTGTCAGCTGTAGACTGAACCACGTGACCACCCTCAGAGGTGGTCTCAGGTCTGTCTTAAGTAAACACACAAATCAATTTGCAAATTTTCCATTAGCCATTAGGGCTAAGAGTGGAACCATATGGGCAGGTCCAGCAGGTCCATGGGCTTCCGTGGGTAAACATGTGGCTCTAGTTAAAGCCATGCCCACTTTGTTTTCCTGTCACAGACACTTTGATCATAATTGTCATCATATATCACTCATCAGCAGAACTAATGATCTACTGACGTCTGCAGTTTGGAGGTCTGGGATATTTTGTGACCTTAGACCTTTCAAAGGTGATTATAATCCAAGACAATGACAAGAAATACAGAATTTTATGCAGACGCCAGCAAAGGGTTTCCACTTCCTGATGACTGATCCGACTGTCGACTGCCTGCTCCAAAATGTAATCCAATTTTTATACATGCATGGATTGTAAAGATAGCATTGAAATGACTGTGTGGTTGGTGTCCACATTTGACACACAACAATTCAGTTGTTAAGTGCTGCAGTAAAAGAGTTCAATGGTGTATTTCAGTGTCTGATTATCTGCTGGTACTCAGCCACTGATGGAGCGTGGGTTTGAAGAGCGTTATTACTGAGGCTTGTTCAGAAAACAAAAAAAACAAAAAACAGCTGGAGTGAAACAAAAGGCTGAAGCTGTGGGTCATGAAAATAAAAATAAAAAAAATCTCAGAGTTCAATAGGCCTTGTTCAAAATCCTGTTGGTCCAGCAGGGACCATCACTGTGCATCGTGATGAAAACGAACACATCCAGGTTCTGCTAATGAAGAGGCAGGAAAAAAAAAGACCTGATCATTCTTTGACAGCGCACAGAAAAAAAGGCTTCGTTATTAATTACTGTCTAAAACATGAGACCACGTTCACTCAGAGCTTCACACTGTTCATCCTGCCACTGTAAAAAACGCTCAGCACTTGTGTGGAAGCAGCTCTAAACTGTCAGAGCGCTCATTCACTCACCCTCTTCAATTACTCCATTGTCATTTCCCATGGCCAGCTACTCCACCAACCCAAAACTAATTGGTTTTGTGCACGTCAGAAATGGAGTACACACTGTGCTGCACACACACACACACACACACACACACACTCACACTCAGGCAGTGGCACATTGATGCCGTCTGGCCACAGAATGTGAAGGTCAGGACATGTGTGAGCGCACAGATGGAGGTGACAGAGGCACGAGGCACCGAGACTTTTCAACCGCCACAGTGTAAATGACTGTCTGTCAACAGGAGACAAATAAAACAGTTAAATGTTAAATCTTTAATCCTACAAAAAAAACCCTGATATGAACCCTGTGCCTCATGTTACCTAATATGAAGTGAGAAACAGCAACACCAACAGAAACCTTGGTTTTGTTGTGTTCTGTAATGAATGACAAATCTTCAGCACGCTCTCGGTGTCATCATCAACCCCCATAATCTGTGCACCGGGGGCCGTTTGACTTTAATGGAGCGGGAC